CTCTCTCTCTCTCTCTCTCTCTCTCTCTCTCTCTCTCTCTCTCTCTCTCTCTCTCTCTCTCTCTCTCTCTCTCTCTCTCTCTCTCTCTCTCTCTCTCTCTCTCTCTCTCTCTCTCCATACCTCTACCTAATAGGTAATATATAGTAAGGCATAGCCTTTGAGCGACCACCCCGGTTGAATTGTTGGAATATTTTTTTATAGCGAGCAAATATGAGAATTGACAAGTGAGCCGGAAACGAAAATTTTGTGCACGAAAGTGAGCATATTAATTAGCCAAATTTCGGGTATGTTACCGGTTGCTTCCATATCTTTCGCACCCCTCATAACATGTTTCGCCCACCGGCGGTGTTCGTATTATTAGCTCGTGGTGCAATGTATATCGCTCTCTCTCTCTCTCTCNCGCACACCTCTTTCTCTCTCTGACACATACACACTCCCTCTCTGGTTAACTTTCTCTCTCTCTCTCTCTCTCTCTCTCTCTCACGCGCACACACCCCTCTCTCTGACACATACAAGCTCCCTCTCTGGTTCTCTCTCTCTCTGTCACACACACAACACAAACACGCACACCTCTAGTCGACCTACACTATAAGGAATAGTATACGGAATTTGTGAACCGGTCTCCTTACTATATTTGTAAATCGTATAGTCATTGTAATAGACGTTTTCTCGTCATGCGACTCAGGAAGGTGTCCTTTCCATTTTAAATGAGTAATTTCAAGTGTAATAATTTTCTGGTATGCAGTGGGGCTAGCTTACACGCACAGAAAGCGTATGCATGTCTCTCACTAATAGCTATGTGTCAAATTTAAGCCAGCCGATGTTGTGAAAAGGCACATTTAAAAAATAAATTGACATATGCAGGCTATTAATTATTAGTAATAATTATAGTTTATTGATGAGGAAAAACATGACAGATCAATGTGATGCATCAGCAAGTTGCATCACACATAAAAATACAATTTTATATTTATATTCATGACATTGCATTGGGTATGAAACATTTTAGCAACATTATAGAACATGACATATGACAAAGGACAACAAAAATCACCAACAAAACTGTTAAGATGAATAATATAGAATTTTCTGTTCTATCACAAATTTTACCTGCCTGGTAAATTATGCTGTGGCATCCACTCCGATTCGGAGCTAGAATGTAATAATCATATGGTACTAACACATCCCGTCAAGTTTTGTTAAATAACTGACGGAAATTATATTAAAAATAGACGAACTGTAACATACATACAGTGAATATATGATCTCTTAATTTGTCTTGCTTCTAGTACACGTTACATTACATCAGAAGAACATGATCACAGGCAGATGTCAACCAAGTTTACTTGATTACACTTCTGCATGACCAGGCTCATTTGAAATTGACATGTGAACTGACATGACAATGACAGACTCTCCTCTCCCAAATATTGGTAGTTTTAACAAGAGACATTATGTTCTCAGTTCAGAATACTGTGACGGACTATGTGCCATAGCCACGCGAACAGCTTACGACAGTGCGCTGTTGAGGGGCTCCTGATAAAATATGGACTTTAATTGTAGTTAATTATATAACTTGCCATCTACGCAGATGGTGTAACCGCGAGCCCATCATCGAAGATGATCACACACACACGCACGTAAAGCTCAACCAATTCCGTACCTTCCTTATCATATCTTTATAATTCAACATGTGGTCTGTCGATCTACAATCATGTGCGACTTTGCAAGAAGAATATAGAAGACAAAATCATCACAGTTACGTTGTCCATCCTTGTATTCAACCTACGGAATGCCTGCACGTGAGGGCCCATCTGTCCACTGGCTGTCGATATGACAGTCCCAGCTGTCAATTTAAATCGTCTTGTTAAACTTGCACCCATGCAGTTCATTCGCGATGGGCATAAATTGCAGTCAAGCAAGAATTGCACGAATAAACCTTCCTATTCAAATTAGATTGACGTTCCGTGCTAGTCCCATCGCAACATCACCCTATGGGCATCGCAACGGCAATAGTGACTGATAGACAAGAATGAAATACTGTCTAATCAATTACAAATAAAATCATGTCAAACCTATAGAGGCAAGCTTTAAAACACATGGCACCGTTTTCCGCGTACGTCCGCTAGGATACACGCCGTTTGCACACGTTAGCCCAGCAGTGTGGTCGCGCGAGGATTTCAAAACCTGGCGCGAAATTACGATTACAACACGCGCAGCCTTGGACCGCTCACACTCGGTCGGGCGCTCTTTTCTAGTAGCGATGATCCATCTGTCGGTGCTTGTACATCGGACTATGATGAGGATGAGGCTTGTGAGATTTAGGACACGTGCACAGCGTCGGCATGCCACCTTGAAAACAAACAACAGAAGAACAACCGTTTGAAGATGACAGATGTGAGTCAACGACTAAGACTACCCTGAAGGTGTTATCAATGCGTCGGTGGAAAATCCAAAACTTGTATCAACCATACATAGATTGATGAACGGGATCACTGTGATGCAAAGCTGGCATGCTCTAATGACGTCATGCAGATGTGCAGCGCCGAGAATCCACCTTATTGCATACGAGCAAGCTGCAAACTCTACTCGCATACGACCCTTCCGTCGAAATTAAATCCCAGTTAGTTTGCTAGCAGTCGAAATGCCCGCTTAGCTGCCGGCAGTGCAGACAGGTGCTCTGCGCTTCCTGTCGGGTAAAGACAGAGAACCACCGACGCGAACTCACCGGTAGGGATCGAGTAGTAGTCTTCCATGTCTCTGGGGTGCTCCGAGTACGCCATGTTCGTGTAACTCCTGCCCAGGCTGCCATCCCTCGCGGCATTCATGTTGCCATAGGAACGGCTCATTTGTATTCGGTTGTAATTTGCGGCGCGTTCCCTGCTACCGTTCGGTGCTGCGGGAAATCGAGACCGATATTGAAGATGTATCGCTAGTATCGTCGCTAACATTGAAATGAAACCACGTACTTGACCTCTGTGCTTATTTAACTTTACTTCATCTTTATATATACGTTTCATTTAACAGCGATTATGTTCAATTTTGTTTGGCTGAATCGTCATCGTTTGCGAATCCTCCATTAGACCATATATAAACCCATAGGAGTGCTTTAACTGTGCTAAAATTGCTGCTGAATATTACCAGTGATGAATAATGACATGTCATTAGTCACCCCTGATATTACGCGACGGCTCAAACGATTTAAAGTGATTACGTCACCGTAAATAGTAAAAGTAAAAAAAAACATTTCCACTTTTTCATAAAATGCAAGTAATTCTGTTCACTTTTTATGGTTAAACTGCTGCATTATACTTCCTATTTTACTATATTGTTCGATGTAAACATACACTCGTGACTCATACATAGCCCACAGCAAGCAATTATTGTCAAGATCACAATATCAAATCGTCCAGGTTTTTTGGATTTTTAACTAGTTGAGAAACAATCTTATCAGGTAAGAATTTGACGATACATTTAGTCGCGTTAGTACTTACTTTTAATGTAAAAAAATGGCAACAAATTTTTTTGAATATACACCTTAGAAAATTCGTGACGTAGTCGATTTAACGCACGCGCTTACCTATTGCGCCCTGAGATTTGGAGAGGCCTGTCCCCGGCCTGTAGAGGGAGCCACCCTGAGACGTGCCAGGGATGCTCATCATGCTAGCTGCTTGCGAGCGCGCATACAGCTCGGCCGGATCGGCCATCGACGGTGGCGATATTCCCGGCAGACGCTGCATGCTGTAGTGCGAGTACATCATGGCGTCCCGCCGCTTTTTCTGCCTATCCTGATCTCTGAAGGTGGTCAAATAGAAAAATGTTGATTTCATGTCACACATGTGATTTACACCCTGTGATGTTAAACTGAATATCAATAATCAAACTAAATCAAACTAAATACTCAAACATATCACACTTAAATATGATATATAACGAGAGAGTATCTTAGATAATATGTTGCTAGTTTCTACTTACTTATAACAATATACACAGACAATGATGAGGATAACAACGAGTAGGCATATGAGGGCACCACCTATGCCTCCAGCAATCTTTGCCACATCACTAGTTGTCAGCGCTGCAAAAAAATACCAGAACATCAGTAAACATCTAGTCTCTAGACTATTACAATTTTTATGTCCAAACAATTCTTAGCCATTTCTAGATGTTGAGTTATCACCACTGTTGATAAATGTAGGAAACCTGGCAGGTAATACACAATTTTAAGCAGTTTCAATTTGTTTCAGACCATACACTCCTATACACATTGAAATTTAGGTAGCATAACCCAAGCCTGAGTCAGTGGCGGATCCAGGATTTTAAGATAGGGGGGCTCAACCGCGTAGCCAAGACATCATTTTAGGGGGGTGCGGATTTTGTGATAGCACCGGTGCGCACGCTTCACGTGCCGAATAGGGGTGCGCCTCTTGCGCCCCCCTGTGGATCCGCCACTGTGAGTTGTGATTTAAATGCTCAAAATGTTCAGGGAACATTTACCTCCTGCTTCAGTCTCACACAGCTCTCCTTGAAAACTCGGAGGGCAGATACAGAACTCCTCCTGTTCATTGAAGCGACACAAGCCGCCATTCTCACAGGCGATCGTACAGCCTGCTGGAATAGTACAAATATGCATCGATAATTAATCATTCATGTCATGTCAAGTAATCATTCAGGTATGCCTCTATATCAACTTGTAACTGCATAATGTGAGGTGATCCAATGGTAAAAAGACAAAAGGAGTAACACCAATTCGGTTTAAGATCATGGGATACGAAGCTAGTGGAGTCACCTGATATATATATATAGGAAAGGTGTAGGTAAGATCGAGGGAATGTGAACAAAACAAGTTGTGTTCTGAATTTCTTTCTGCGTACTCACGACACAACAAAATATATATCCTGTATTGTGACGTACTCTCAGGTTTTATGCAGTAAACATTCAATAGTATGCAACAGAGGAAGCAAACCTACCGGATGTTTGTATCTCACAGTTTGGTCCATCAAGGCCCTTAGGGCAATCACAGTACCATGACGAGGAATCCAGTCTCTGTGTACAAGTGCCTCCACGACTGTGACACTCGTCAGAACATAATCCTAAATTGTTAAAAAATAAATAAAATAGAATGTAATTCTCTCACAAAATAGACGTCTACGACAATCCGCTACTGCTGCATAAACTTCAGTTTCGCATGACGAATGTCCATGACGATTACCAATCAAGACTATATTTTTCTAGCATGAAGATAACAAATAAAAAACGAGATTACTGTGAGATCATTTTGTTGACGTTCATGATTTTTCCCTTTTAAATACGAGACACTTCTAATGACATGTTGCGGATTCGTCACCTACCGGTACTGTGTCTGGCACCACTGCCAGACGACACTTCATTCCTGTCATCTTTGTCAGGTGGTAAGATGGGTCCACCAGCACCTCCAGTGCCAATTATGATCTTCGTCCTGCTTCCATCCCCTTCATTCTTCGTCTTCTGACCAACTTTAACACATTCTGACTCGTAGACCTAAAATAAACAGGTAAACAATCATTACCGGTATGTAATCAGAGCATGCAGATCTAAAATTCGCTACACTACTCTAACGAACCTATTGGAATGTGTAGCTATCTAACGCCCTGATAGACAAATGAACACCGTGTCAGTGTGAGGTGCATTGCGATTCCCAAACACAAATTAACGTGTTGAGTCCGCTCATCGTTCTCAGGTTATTTGATCACACAGCAGAGAGTTATCACTTCCATCGCATTCAATGTTCGAAATTTCAATGTGCAACAGACAAGACTCTCGGATCCAGCTCAGCTAAACACGGAAAAGTAAAGAGGTGATGCGTGATAAGGGGTAGCAAAGCCAACGTCAATGTCGTCCTGGCAAATTCACCCAGCATGGGGTGCGTAACTCTTAGCTGCTATACTGCGCAGAGGCACGTGGAACGTTTTCAATAGTAAAATGATGATAAATAAACACGAAATGTATTCACTACGCACAGTCTTAAATGTTTCTCATACCTGCTCTTTGGCTATCATTGCGCCGATAATTTCCTGTAAATGCCATTCAAATCACCTCTGCAACACACAGTACACCACACGCAGTCGCTGGCACAACACTACAAAGAATAAAGAGTTCCTATTTACCATAATTTACTATTGAAAACGTCCAAGTGCCTGTTGCTACTGCGGGAGATTGACTTAAGCTGTTGCAGCTGTCTCAGGTCTGATCGGCCGGACCAATGATCATCGCTCGTGCAGGCCTCTGTCCTGTAGGTTCCTTTAGACAGGTCTTGCACTGCCTCTGAGAGACAGTTCGTGGCCCCGAGCTGCAGTCATCTAGGTGCAGGCAATGACAGCATCGTAACATTTAGGATGCTGATGGTTTAACTCTATCGCTATGAACTAGACGATTCTATATGCCTTGTTATTGGCATTGTATGTGAATATGAATTGTGTATATGATTGTCTTATTGTATTGATGTGTATAATTGTGCCCATGATTGTGCATATGATCTGTGTATATTGTATTGTATGATTGTGCACTGCCTATGCTATTTTGAACTAAACAAGAAAGAGTTTCTGAGCAGTAACGCTCGTCATGAGCGACCCCTATGCAATTCAAACATACAATGCAGTCCTGCCGCCCTCACGGTGGTTGTCGTTACGGTTGTCTTGGCGATTCCACAAGCTTGGCACTCGAAACTACTGGGAGTGTCCTGGTAAAGCGAAGCACAATCCATGCAGATGCTCAGCGTGAGGTTATAGTAGTGACCGGGACGACAAGACTCTGTTAAACAAAATTACGATGACGGCGACGACAATCACATCCACATGGCCTGCAAGCTGTAGTGTTGCTAACACAATGCTACATGTGCTGTGCACATGTATGAACCACCATATATATATATATATATATATTGGTTGTATATATGTATTAAATATACATATATACAACATACATATATACATACAACAACAACAACAACAACATACATACAACAACATACATATAACAAACTCCTCGTGTGAACGCAGCAATATACATATATATACACATATATATATACATATATATACATATATATATATACACATATATACATATTATACTATATGCAGTTATATTTCACTGGCTAACCGGCAACAGATACACATTGGTGCAGGCACGCTGATAACTATGCAACTGCAGATCCATCCATGCATCGCGGCGGAACACCCAGGGAATTTCGCGCCAATGCTTATTTCCGACAGGTCACTGCACATCGTTGCCACGGTTACATGTAGCGAGATGACGGTCGTTACCGTAACACATGCTGCTGTCGGTGGATCCCAGTCCGTGCGTCGTGCTCGGACGCCCGTTGATCTGCGGGCACGGCACGCACTCGGTCTGTTCCTGCTGCTGCTGGTAGGTTCCGCGCGGGCAGTCCCTGCACTCCCCGGACCCTGTGTGGTAGTACATGCCTTCCGCACAGGCCACTGAAAACACATACGAATGCCGTTATATAGTACACTGCAAGAATCACAGAAAATTGATGCAGACGTGAAAGCATGAGAAACCTGTCTTCCGGGTAATTTTCCGTAAATTATGCTGTGATTAAATGTAACGATCATTTACTGGCCAGGAGAAGTAATAATTAAAAAGTACTATGCACCCCACGCACGCATGCACGCACGTACGCACGCACACACATACACACACACACACGACCAATATAGGGCAGTGCCAAATTACAAACCCTACTCTTTTTCTCCGTGAAATTTCAATCATAATTCAGTACGCCTCGTAAATATCCAGATAAACAACAGAGCATCCTTAGCGGACATCCGCGTCTCAAGCGCCACTCTTCCCACGCGCGTCCGTTGCCGCGGTGACGACGATGATGACTCACCGCACGCGAGTTCGATGAGAGCGCGTCCGGGCGCGCAGCGCGGCTTCGGGCGGACGGTGAACGACGACAGGTCACGCTGCACGCGGCTGACGCTCGGTCCCAGGTCCAGTGCGTCGTTGCTGAGCACCTGAGCCTGCAGCAGGTTCAACACCTCTCCCACCGCGCGGCTGCAACAGTACCTTAACCGGATGGTTGTATCTCACAGATTTAGCGTCCATCAAGGGCCCTTATGCGCAATTCACGCGGTACATGACGAGGAATCCAATATCTCTAGGTGTACAGAAGTGCCTCCACGACTGTGACACTCGCTCAGAACATAATCCTAAATTGTTAAAAAACTCAATAAAATAGATGTAATTCTTCTCACAAAAATCAGACTACTACGACAATCCGCTACTGCTGCATAAAACTTTCAGTATTCGCACTGACGAATGTCATGACGACTTACCATCAAGACTATAAGTTTTCTAGCACTGAAAGGTAACACAACTAACAAGGCCGCAGAGCGACAGCGCCTCATCTATACGTCTACTGGCGGTGACTCTGTGGTGAGTAGTGGATTCTGTAGTGAAACCCTGTAGTCCAAATGGTGTTCACATTACCACGGCCGAAACAGGTGGGAATCACAGGGATGAGTAATCAGAACTTCTCAAAAAAATTGTTCGTTGGGATGCGTTATGAAAAGTTGCCACCGAGATGCGCGTACGTTCAAGTGTCTTCAGCATTAAAGATGGAAGCTCCATCATACGTAGTAGCAACAACTATCTGCAAGACGACAGGAATAGGTCAGCCACTCATCATTTACCTACGCCAAGCCTACAGGCTGCGCAATCACGAGAGCTGCCACCTGTACCAATTAAGGCAACAACACTGCCACAAGTACCACCAATACACATGCACTGCAGTAGCACGGCAGTGCATACGTTACATGTAACATACTACACTTAAGATATGCCAATATAAAATTTAACGATGTAAGAGCCATAACCTTCTGTTAACTAAATCTAGCGTTTTGAAATTCACTCTGACATTTGATACCTCAATACTCCAGCGCATGTATAGTTCTGACTAGGGCAACACCCGCAGTCAAATTCTTTCTAACAGACAGTCACGAAACATCCAAGTTTAACCCTCTCTTTGAGTGGTCAAAAGGTTATTCCGACACTTATCTTCGCATGTCGCAGGAAGGGACATTGTCCATTGGTCCTTTCAATAATAAGCTAAAATGCTAGGTCACAGCGCTGAATACAAAAAAGTTTTTCAATCGGCTCGTGCAGACCAATGTCCTCAGAAAATGTCTAAAATCTGCCCTGTCCCATTGACCGTGACCTGTGACTCCAATTCGGCAACAGTGATGGCCTTTTCTACCAGTGATGCTATACCCGACATATCACGAGTCCTAAGTCGAGCCGTTCTAGATTTGTGCCGCATTCTGCATTTCCTCCTATACGTTAGCTTAAGGAGTAATGTTCCCCCCTTCTTTTACCCTCTTGACCTTTAGCACACAGAAAAAAAAGGAAGGGAGAGAAAAAAAACCCAGCTCTCGACAGCCCACTCGTTTCGAGATCCCCCAGGGCTCGAACTTACAGCGACGAGAAGGCAAAAGGGCAAATTTTTTTAGGGCATCTGTGAGAAATTCCGTCCTTTGAATTTCTCTAAACATGGAAGGGCACAGTGCAATTTTAACAGGCACGCAAGGCAACTTTCTCAAAATTGAGAAGGGGGAAACACAGGCACTTTGTAAGATAAAGGAAAACTCGTACAATAATAACTCTAATAGACAAATGTAGTACATCAACATCCGTCTTGCCTTTTTAAATGTACAAAAACAGATATGCCCCATATAAGCTTACACGTAACCACTGACCCCTGATACCCCCTCTGCTAACTGAAGTACAGTAAAAAGAAATTTACATGCCCGCTATCAGGGAGTAATAATTATCCGATGCTGTTATTATTCCCTCTCGACTATCGGTTTCAACGCTCATCATTGCAACAACAGCACCGCACAGCCACGTGTTATGTTGAATTCGACTAGGGCAGTAGATCTAAAGGGTGCACTCGACGGCAATTACAGCCAAAGGGCAAGGCAGGTGCTTGCCGCGGTCCGAGTTGGATTTTCAGGGGCAGTATCGGCCAATTGATAGGGGCACCTGACGTCATTGCCGCGGTCGTGCCGCGTCCGGTTAACATTCGAGCCTGGATGCCGCCCCCAATGTGCCGGAAGTATCGTGACCGTAACGTCGAGTGGTTAAGATTTGTGCCCAACTGTTGACGACGGACGGACGGCCGGACGGACGGACTGATCAAGCGATTCGTACAAGCTGATCTGACTTATGGTCAATGAGCGTAAAAAGAAGTATCATCTGTTGAGATCATTTTGTTGAGTTCATGATTTTTCCCTTTTAAATACGAGGGACACTTCTAATGACATGTTGCGATTCGTCATCCTACGCGGTACTGTTCTGGCACCACTGCCAGACGACACTTCATTCCGTCATCTTTGTTCAGGTGGATAAGATGGCGTCCAGCACCTCAGTGGTCCTAATTATGATCTTCGTCCTGCTTCCATCGCCCTCATTCTTCGTCTTCTGACCAACTTTAACACATTCTGATGCGTGAGACCTAA